ATCGTCGGTATGACTCGCGGTCACGACGCGATCGTCGTCATGACTCGCGGTCACGGCGCGATCGTCGGTAGGACTCCGCGGTCACGGCGCGATCGTCGGTATGACTCCGCGGTCACGGGGTTATCGTCGGTATGACTCGCGGTCACGGCATGATCGTCGGTATGACTCGCGAACACGGCTCGATCGTCAGCATGACTCCGCGGTCACGGCGCTTTCGTCGCCATGACTCGCGGTCACGGCGCGATCGTCGGTATGACTCGCGGTCACAGCGCTATCGTCGGTATGACTCGCGGTCACGGCGCGAACGTCGGTATGACTCCGCGGTCACGGGGTTATCGTCGGTATGACTCGCGGTCACGGCGCGATCGTCGGTATGACTCGCGATCACGGCTCGATCGTCAGTATGACTCCGCGGTCACGGCGCGATCGTCGTCATGACTCGCGGTCACGGCATGGTCGTCGGTATGACTTGCGGTCACGGCGCGATCGTCGGTATGACTCGCGATCACGGCTCGATCGTCAGCATGACTCCGCGGTCACGGCGCGATCACATGACTCGCGGTCACGGCGCGATCGTCGGTATGACTCGCGGTCACGGCGCGATCGTCGGTAGGACTCCGCGGTCACGGCGCGATCGTCGGTATGACTTCGTCTTCTGCGTTCGCGGACCTATCGCTCGCAATAACGGCGTTATCGGCACTCGCGAAGCGAAAAATCGCCGACGATCGGACCAAATCCCGTCCCGAAAAATTCCCGAGTCAAATGTAATCCTGTCCCGATAATCGGGAATATTTTTTTCCCGAAAAATTCCCGAAATTTCGGGACCCGTCCATCCCTACTTCAGATCATTATTCTTGTACACTTATCATAAATACAGAACAATGTACTGTATCCTACTAATATTATAAATGAGAAAGTTTGGATGTATGTTTGTGACAAGTGAACGCGAAAAATACTGGTCGGATTGGGCTGAAATTTGGCATGATGATAGCTCACATTCCCGATTAACATATAGGCATATTCTTATTTCAAAAATCCTTTCGGGCTCCGCCTCAGTGGCTCTTGAGTTTCCCATGTTAACCTTATGAGAAATGGAATTATTGAATCTTAACAGCTGTTTCAATTAAACAAGTTGGTTCTGTTCTATGGTTTTTTATGGGAAAATCCCCATTAAAAATCAAAATTTCAAAAAATGAAAAACCACCTGGAGATACCATGGATTAGAACCTACATACCAAATTTCATCGAAATCTGACCACAGGTGTAGTCTCTAGCTCTGTACACATCCAGACACACAGACATCACTTTGATAACCACTTTTTTGGGTCCAGGGGGACCCAAAACGAATATATCCACTCAAAACTCAAACTCAAAAATTTTGACGGAAACAATACTTTCTCCATATACTATGGTATAGGGGGAGAAAGTAAAAATTACATAAAATATAGTGTTCCTTGGATATTGATATTCTCCACTCATTAAATATAATCCTTTTATTCAGTTTCGGTAAAACAAAGATCTTAAAAGTCACAACAATAAAGTGTAACTGCTGTACTGTCAGTTCACTTTAAAATTCACTGAACCCTAATAATTGGTGTTTTGCAGTGAAACACCAATTATTGTTAAAAAAAAAAAAATAAAACTGTGTACATTTTTATCTCTTCAAAATAATTGTCATGTTTCCAATAATTTCAATTTGAATATAACCAGATGTTTCAAATCTATAAGTATAAAAGAGGATGTTTGTATATATATATATATATATATATATATATATATATATATATATATATATATATATATACCAGCTGTACCCGCGGGCTTTGCCCCGTTTAACTTCACAAGTGAGCTCGTTCGCATGGCTCAATCACGTCCTGGTTGAAGTTCGTTCGCTACGCTCACTCACCTTTAGGTTGGAGCTCGTTCGCTCCACTCAATTGCCTTCAGGTTAGCTCGTTCGCTACGCTAACTCGCTTCCAGGTTGAAGTTCGTTCGCTACGCTCACTCACCTTTTGGTTGCAAATTGGCTGTAGTCATCAATAAAAAAAAATAATAGTGCTGCACCCTGTTGGTAATCCTTGTAACTTTAATGCTATTGAACATCATAGAACAGAACCAACTTGTTTAATTGAAACAGCTGTTAAGAAATTCCTTTTAAATATGAAAAATCATAAGGTTAACATGGGAAACTCCAGAGCCACTGGGGCGGAGCCCGAAAGCCCGATCAGAATAAAAACTACTTAGTTTTCCTATTTAATGCCCAAAGAATCGGTGTACCGAATTTCAGCCTCCTAGGTAAATGGGAAGTGGGAGAATTAGTGATGAGTGAGTCAGTCAGTTAGTGAGGGCTTTGCCTTTTATATATTTAGATTTGGCAGTGATAAACTCAGACACCGCTGAACCGATTGCCATGAAACTTGGTACATACGTGTAGAATTTCATGGAATAGGTTTATACACCATCAATTTCGTGATCCGTCCAATCGGCTCCGCCCCAGTGGCTCTGGAGTTTCCCATGTTAACCTTATGAGAAATGGAACTAATGAATCTTATTAACAGCTGTTTCAATTAAACAAGTTGGTTCTGTTCTATGATGTTCAATAGCATTAAAGTTACAAGGATTACCAACAGGGTGCAGCACTATTATTTCTTTTACATTTATGACAACAGCTAATTTGCAACCAAAAGGTGAGTGAGCATAGCGAACGAGCTCCAACCTAAAGGTGAGTGAGCGTAGCGAACGAGCTCCAACCTAAAGGTGAGTGAGCGTAGCGAACGAATTCAACCAGGACGTGATTGAGCCATGCGAACGAGATCATCTTGAAAATTAAGAAGTTAAACGGGGCAAAGCCCGCGGGTTACAGCTAGTATTAGTGTAAATTTCAAAGTATTCATCTGTTAAAATGTAAACAAACATTTTCTCTATAAGGATAACATGGGAACTTTGAAGGCCACTGGGGCAGAGCCCTGATGGAATTTCAAAGATCTACGTGCCACACCCTATCCAACGACACCTCAAACTTGGTAAACGGATGCATAGCAGCTTCAAAACAATTATGACAAAAATATGCCTAGGGCATTAAATATATAGATATTCAAATCAAATCAAATAAAAAATTTGTTATTTCATGCACATAGGTACACATAAATAGTGTCAAACAATTACATTAAAAATTCATCAGTCTCTGAACCTTAACTATTTAACACAATTTGTTCTGAAATATTTTGTGAACAAAGGTGGAAAACTCATCTAAAGAATAAATCGGGTTGTTTATTATGAATTCTTTGAGTTACTTCTTAAATTTTTCAATATTCTTTTCAGACTTAATATTTTTTGGTAAATACTCGAAGAATTTCTTTCCCGAATATGTTGGTTTTTTCTCGTAAAATTTTAATCTATGATGATTTGGGATTATTTCATTTTTATGTCTTGTACTGTAGTTGTGGCATATGGAAGATTTAGAACTTACTGCCTCATTTTTAGAAATTTGTAGCCTATGCAGTCATAGATGTATTGTCCATAAACTGTGGGGATTTTAAAATTTACAAAGTGTTCCTCTTTGGCTGATTGATCATAATTTAGTCTAAAAATAATTTGTATGGCTCTATTTTGTTCTTTTAAGATACTGTCCAAATTTATTTTCTGTGTTGCTCCAAAAAGACACAATCCAAAACTTATGTGTGAGTGAATATACAGGGTGTCCCGCAACTCTCTGGACACATGTATATAGTGTTATTGCTTAGGTCAAGACGAACACATTTCACCATAGCAACATGGGTCTGTGGTGCCTAGTTTTCCGACTGTATTTATGTGTTTTTTACAAAAACATTAATAACTCCTAAACGGGTTGGGATACAGCGTTGAGATTTTGCAAAACTGTTTATCTTAATAAGACTTATCTTTGTTTAAAATTGTACTAATAAATCATCAACCGTTTCAAAATGGCAGCACATAAAAATATTTGATGCCAAATTTCACAAAAACCGTTAACTTAACAAAAAAATTGCAAGAGACAAAAAAGGTAGTAAATTTTATGTAGTTTTCAATGATACCTTATTTTGTTCAAAGGTTCATTGCGGACATTTTCCATCACAATGGTAAAAAACAATACACAACGTTTCGGGATCTGGAATCTGATCCCGTCCTCAGGTGAAAAAACTTAACTAACACATTACAACTAACAATACACAAACGCCCAACCTAAGTTGGAATACACTACAGAGGGTACAAGTAAAAAAATATGCACTGTATAGCAGTCAAGTCATGATACAACATGCAAATAATAACCAATCACAAAACACTATAATCTATAATAGGTGTATTGTAAAAAGCTCACACAATGGAACAACACAATGGAATGTGTATTGTTAGTTGTAATGTGTTAGTTAAGTTTTTTCACCTGAGGACGGGATCAGATTCCAGATCCCCAAACGTTGTGTATTGTTTTTTACCATTGTGATGGAAAATGTCCGCAATAAACCTTTGAACAACATTTACTCACCATCATCAACAATGAACTTCAAACAAAGAATACCTTATTTGTAAGGAATGGATAAATAACAACAGAGAAATGTCTTCTTTTCCAAATACATGACACCTTTTCTCTATTTAAACAATGCTATTACTCCTAATTGTGTTTATCTAAACAAGAGAGTTAAGTGCATTACTGCACTTAACCCTCACAACTCATTGCATTAAAGAACATAACATTCAGTCATGTGGTGATGTATGTCTACATCCGATGTTTCTTGCAGTCAAAGAACATATCACCTTATGTTGCATGTGGCAGAAGATTAAATAATTTAAACAATGTTCTAGACACACAGCCACTTTACGTCAGCTACAGAGCCGTTTTGTTCACAAATGATACCAGTAAGTGCTGAGCTACCTCATTGCAGTTTACATGCAAACTAAGAAGCTATATACACAACCCCCCCCCCCCCAACTTACATAAAACGACCCTTGTATAATTCTGTGTCTAAAATGATTGTGCATTTTAGGGACTGGCAATCGGAACAGTGGATAAAATATTCATTAAATTTCCTTACCGCTGGTGGCCTTTAGATTGCCCAGGATTCAGTCTTCTGTGGAGAAAAAATGATATATTGCATGAAGATCAGGTACGTTATCCTTTTTCACATCTAGTTGGGCTAAAGCTTTTTAAAAGATGATACAGTACATTTAGGTTTCTACATCAACCTGTTGGTGATGTGTGGCTGGGTAGTAGGCTCTGCTGCCAGACACATGGAGCAATGTTCTGATGTGTGATTCTTTTATGTACAGGGAGGTTGGATGGGAGAGGTGTTTGGTTTCTACAGTGTAGATGACAACCCATTGTTTATGTGTGGCTGGGTAGTAGGCTCTGCTGCCAGACACATGGAGCAATGTTCTGATGTGTGATTCTTTTATGTACAGGGAGGTTGGATGGGAGAGGTGTTTGGTTTCTACAGTGTAGATGACAACCCATTGTTTATGTGTGGCTGGGTAGTAGGCTCTGCTGCCAGACACATGGAGCAATGTTCTGATGTGTGATTCTTTTATGTACAGGGAGGTTGGATGGGAGAGGTGTTTGGTTTCTACAGTGTAGATGACAACCCGTTGGTTATGTGTGGCTGGGTAGTAGGCTCTGCTGCCAGACACATGGAGCAATGTTCTGATGACCAAGTACGAGACAGCTGCTACCAACTGCTGAAGAAGTTTTTAGGCGCTCATTATGATATTCCACCTCCCCAGTATATCCTAAGGTATAAACAGATATAGTTATACATAATTAGGGCTTATGATTTCTTTGAGCGAATATCCCAGTTTTAGTGTTTTATTGTTAATTATAGTGAATAACATACTAATACATACTAATACCCCGCCGTAGCAAACCTACAGACTAAGCAAATTTCCATTTGCCTGATTGGATTTACAATATAATATCTACTTATATCACATTTATCCCCTATTTAAATAGCATTAGCCACTAGGAGGTCACGAATTGTGGATAATTATATTGGTACACTGTGGATGCGATGCTCCCTGGTGTGGATTAACGTCCGCACTAGTGAGTACTACGACTATCCGCAGTACTATCCTAATAATTAGACCAATTCGTTAATTACGAGGAAATAATGTGGTTCGGATTCCACAATAAACTGTAGGTCCCTTAGTTGCCATTAGCTGTATGGGCTATTAATTAACAGCTATTTCTAAGGAACATTTCGGCCTTAGTCACTAACAAGACTACGCGTCAGTGATCGCGCCACTCATCCTACACTCATCCTTCACTCATATTTGGGTAATACGCACATAGTGGCGTCCCCATAAATAATTGATAATTGATAATTAGTTTAACAAGTTCCGTTCTTAGGTTTGCTACAACAGGGAGGGTAGAATTTTTTTTTTTTATGTTAATAGTTTAGTATGAAATAAATGTATTTTCCAAATTTGATATACATAATATGTATTACATATTATGTTCATAAACAACCAAACTACAGCAGTTTAGTTCTTCTCGATAAGAATAACATGGGAACTTTAAATTTACAATATTTTGTTATTTTCTCCGTAACTATTAGGCGCATAACCCAAGTAGCAGAAATTTTTGGCAAATAGTTTCTTTCGATGGTAGGCCATCAGTATGTTTTTGGCACTAAGTCTTACGCTTGGCCAACCAACCAATTTTTAACGTAGGGCCAACCATCCCATGGGGCCCAAACATAAAAACACAAAATAATAAAGACTAGTGCACCTGTTGCTCGAATTCGAGCAATTGCAAAGTATTCCAGGTGTTATTTCAAAACAAATAACAGTCATAATTTCCGATAACTTAAAAGAGTCAACTCAAAGATAATGTAATCAATCACTCCACTCCAGTTATCGAAACTGAAAACAAACGCTCTTGTGTGTATCACATATTTACTATGAACTGCTGTAATTAAAACAAAGTATTCGTCTGTTTAAGTAAACAAAAACATATTTAGACATATCACCTAATTCACAATGCTAGTTAATACTTAGTTTTACCTCGTATTTTACCTCGTTTTAAGTCGTGTACTTAGTTAGTTAATCAATAAATATTAATTTTTATTGTATTTTCTTTATAAGAAATACATTGGGACTATGATGGCCAGTGGGGCAAAGCCAGAGGGCTTTTATTACAGGATTGGTGAAAGGGGGCGTCTACACAAAAAATACCAAATTTTGACACATCGTTTGCAAAAATCCATCCATTATTAACGGAGGAGTTTTTTTTTTTTTTTTGTCCTAAGGACGATAGGCACGAGCCTGGGATTGTTTTTCACATTACTTCAGGCTAGACCTAGGGGTTGCGGCATTATCACTTTAGATAAAATCCATTGGTGACTTGGCGGGGATCGAACCCGGGACCTCAGGGACTGAAGTTCCGCGCTCTAACCACTATGCCAGCTCGCTCCCCATTAACGGAGGAGTAGTGTTTTGTTAGTAGTGTGTCGCCTTCACCTATTATATATAAGGATTTAGTACGAAAAGCATAATTATCAGTTGAGTAAATTGATTAAATAGTAAAAAAAACAAAATTTCCTGGGCGCGATGGGTCTCAAACCTGAAACCTTTGACTCATGAGCCTACGACCTCTGAGCTATCTGTGATTGTTGATATAATGAGTTTTCAAGTGGTTAAAGAGTAGTCGATAGTTGCAATGGTCGCAATACTTAAAATATTTTTGATACATCAAGTAGTTCAATTGTTTTTCTGAGAGTTGGAGAGGATATTGGTATTTGAATATAGATGATTTAATTACCATTAGATTAGTAATCTTATATATTTTAAAAACTTGATTTTTCCTTTCCGACTACGTTTGGCTCTTCTACCCGACCGATTTTCATGATTGAAGTCTCAAATTGAAGGTATGCACCCACAGATTAGCCATCAAGCATCGGCATATATTTATCCATAATCCCACTCGGTATATACGTAAACGAAATATGCTCCCTATGTATTTCTTATGGGAGTTAAATTTGGTTTTTCTTTGCCGAGATCGTTTGGCTCTACTACCCGACCGATTAACATGATTGATGTCTCAAATTGAAGCTATGCACGCACTGATTTGCCATTAAGCATCGGAATGTATTTATCTATAATCCCTCTCGGCATATACGTAAACAAAATTTGTTCCCATGTATTTCTTATGGGAGTTAAATTTGGTTTCTCTTTTCTGATTTCGTTTGGCTCTTTTACCCGACCGATTTTCATGATTGAGGTCTCAAATTGAAGGTATGCACGCACAGATTTGCCATCAAGCATCAGCATATATTTATCTATTATCCCACTTGGATTACACGTTAACAAAATTAGCTTCTCATGTATTTCTTGTATGAGTTTAATTTGGTTTTTTTCCGAGTTTGTTTGGCTCTTCTACCCGACTGATTTTTATGATTGAGGTCTCAAATTGAAGGCATGCACGACAAGTTTTCTCATAAATCATCGGCAATTATTTACCTACTGTATTACTCGACCAAAACACATAATTAATCTATTTTCTATTTCTTACTTTAATTTAAGATGTGCCTTCACCAGTTATAATTTTATAATCCTATAAATTTTAGTCTAATAAGAACCTTCAGTGAAATACTGGCTTTCATCTAAGCTATTATTTATTAAAATCGTACAACTTTCAAGCAAACGCTAGGTGAAAAACCAACATAAAAATTATTTTTCATAAAGTTTTTATATGATTAAAAATTAATAGCTCCAGTATTGGTAATGTTTTTCTATATGATTTTTTTTCTCATAAATTTGATTATTTCTTGGATATTATATTTGTTTTAACGATGAAGAGCAGCACGGGTCCTATAGACTCAAAATAATCAGTAAATTATAGGCTTTAATTTGAGCTATTGATCGTTTGAATCAGTTAAGCTCAAGATACTGTATTACTCAATCAAAAATCATAAATTCAATAATTTCTCGGATATTATATTAATTTTAACGCTGCAGAGCAGCATGGGTCCTCTAGTGTTATTATAATTGATTGCTATATGATTAATTAATATTTCCCCTTAAATCGTTCTACTATTAAAAATTGTCTCAAGTAAGAAGATAGAGAATGTTTATTTAAAAAAATTATTTACATTATTATAATTATTATATGTTAAGCAGGTGTTCCACCACTGTATCTAGTAAAACAACTATCACAAAATCATCTGACTACATTTATTATAGATCTAGTTTTCTCCAAAATCGTCTTATATTCGGCTTTTATGACATTTATGTTCTTATAAAAAAATCTATTTGTTCAAATGTGTTTTAGAATGTTTCATACTTAAATCCAACAAAGGCCCAGCGATTCTTTCCTTTGTAGGGCCAACGAATACAAGTTTCCGTTGGGCCAATGTTGGCAAGGCATTAAAATTTCCGCCAACCATTTCCCAACGTTGGGCCAACAATGTGTGCTACTTGGGATCAACGCTCCAATATACTAAATTATTTGTTTTTTTGATCTCTACAAAATGGTTTGGAAAGAAATTGCAAAATTTTATGTTTTTAGGGAAAAAAATGGGAAAACCTATTTTTACCTCATAAAACCAAACCACCGTTCCCATAGTCCGATCATGCTGGTTCGCAAACTTGTTTGAATAAATGTAGATTTACACATTTGTACCAAATTTCATCAAAATCGGATCATTTTTGCTTGAGTTATCATGCTAACGGACACATAATATTCTACACATGTTGATACTGTTCAATGAAATGACGACCATACAAAGTAGGTATTTTACTATAATAATGGTACAATACCTCGTCAAGTAATCCAAATGTTGATTGAGGTTAACAACCTACATGTTTCGTATATTGGCATCTTTCTTTGGACATTGACATATTACAATAGCATAATAAACCTAGCCTATTTTAGAGCAACAATTAAACTATCTGTATTTTAAAGTTAAAGCCTAATTTACCATTTGAACCGGCATGACCATACCTCCCTGAGATCAAAGAGCTTATATATTTATATGTTATACACTTATTGAAGAAACAAACCCAATATGTAACTATTATAGCCTAGAATTTTTTCATCCACTTTGGAAGCCCCGCCATTTTGTAAATTACCATTGTTAGACCCCATAGAATTCAACCAGTATCTTATATTTGTAATTCGCTAATAAATCTCATATTGTAACTTACTAAACCTATTTATTCTTAAAGTAATTCATCTATTATAAGATTAAAGATAAGACTTACCTCATCAGACATAAATAAAACACAAGTTAGGAATGATCTTTATTAAGAAATAACTTAGAGGTCAATGTGGGCAAAATTAATAGCCAAAGGAATTTTGTAAATTAATAAATATACCTATAGAAAGCTTTACTGTACATGCATTTATTTTTGTAATCCTACAAACTGTGATTTTAAGGAATTCCCCGGGATAAGCTATTAGGTACTGTAGGTCTCATGGTAAGGCCTAGACCCTGGACTATTTTACATTTTGTTTTGATGTCCCCAGAAGCCAAAAACATCATCCGTTCAAATTCATATATAGGCCTATACTGTATGTGTGTCCTTTAGGTAAACTCCAGATAGATAACTCTAGATAACACCAGTAAAAATCGTCCGAATTTGATGAAATTTGGTACAACCTACATTTATTCTAGAACGAGTTCGGGAACCAAGATGATCTAACTATGGGAACAGGGTAAGGGTAAAAATGCCTTATTCCCATTTTTGACCCTTAAATCATTTCTTTCCAAACCATTTGGTACTAGTGCACTGAGGT